CAAGCTTTCAATCATCTCCTGTACTGCACTGTGACGTATTCCAAGTTTTCGGGCTATTGTGTCCACAGTCACATGCCTGTCATCTTGAATGATCTCATCCACTCTTTCCTTGTTGTGTTCAGTTGAGGCTGTTCAAGGACGACCACTCCGAGGCTCATCTTCGATGCTGGTGTTCCCATCTTTAAAACGTTTCACCCATCTTCGAACACTGCTCGCTCCAATGCACACACTTCCATAAGCACGTTGAAGTCTCTGGCGAATTTCTGCAGCAGGGATTTCCTCTTTCACAAGAAATTCGATGACAGCACGCTGGCAAAATGACATATCATCGTTGGCCATTTTGTTAGGAGCGATACTGGTCATGTGATGCAAGCTATTGACGTCACAGGACGCTGAAGGTTAACACAACAGCTGGTTCCACCTACCACCATACTCTCTTCCATCTGCTGTTCCCTGGTTGCATGCAAAAAAAGTTGCTCTTGACTTTCGGCACGACCTACGTATCAAAGCTATTGTTCATGAGGGGTCGGTTTTCAACATCATGTATGACGTGTTAAACATGACAAAGGTCGCTGCGCGTTGGGTCCCACAATTGTTGACACCAGTTCAAAAACAGAAATGGATGGCTGTGGCAAAGAAACTTTTGCAGTTGTGTCAAGATGAAAAGGTGGAATTTTTCAACCGCCTGATCACAATGGATCATTATGACCCTGAAACAAAGGAAATGAGCAAGCAGTGGAAACATGCAGACTCACCACCACCAAAGAAGGCCAAATCCCAGCCGTTGTCAGAAAGGTGATGTTGAGCGTGTTCTGGGATTAGCGGGGTGTTGTCATGACCGACTATGCACAAAAGGGTGACACCATCACTGGTGAGTACTACTGGAACAGTCTGAGAAAATTATGGGAGGAAATCAAGAAAAAGCGATGTAGAATGCTGGGAAAAGGTGTGACTTCTTCGCGACAATGCACTGGCTCAAGCTACAATGACACTTGCTGCTAGTTTGGGATATGAAATTCTCCCCCATTCACCATATTCACCAGACCTGGCACTGAGCGACTTCTTCCTCTTTCCTTGGCTAAAGAAGCCACTTCGTAGTAAGCGATTCCAAGACAATCATGACATCATTTCTGCAGTGGAGGACTTCCTAAACAGTCAAAATGAGACCTTCTATGATCAAGGTATCCAGCAGCTAATGCATCGTTGGGGAAAATGTGTGGCCTTGCAGGAGGCATATGTAGAGAAGGGCTAACTCACATACAATTTCTTGTACCTATGTCTCTGTTTCTTCTGGGTGATAATTATAATTTTATGACTTCCCCACATATACTCCTGATTGTTAAATAACCTATGATAAAATATATTCATGGGAAGTACAAAAACTAGACCAAGTTTCCTTACAGTATTGTATTATATGATTTATGCTTACTGGATGCCATGATTTGCATTTTTCACTAACTGGTAATTAAAAACATACAGTGGTATTAGGCACACACAAAAGGTCCATATGGACGCTCCAGTAACAGTTCAAATTACACTAAAATAGATAATTTGGAAATGGATTCTGAGGATGTGAACTGGTTCAGAGTGGATCCAACAGAGGACTATGTGATGAGGATGTCTTCATGTTCCACAGCACAGTAATCCCAAATATCAACAGTTTGCTGATGACACTACATAAAATATTAAAACTTCCTTCCTTCCCCTTGGCACTACGGCTCAGGGTAAGCTTTGGCCTCTTGAACAATCTGCCTCCATTCTTCATCTTTCCTCCCCATCCTTTCACTTCCATTTTATGGAGACGATCATGTACATCCTCCAACCACCTCAGCAATAAAACATCATTACATATAACAAAATACTGATGGGCCATGTAGATATGCGATGGATGCATACAAATAATCAGCCACAGTATGGAATTATAAACATTTTACAAATGACAGGGAAAGATTGGAAACAGGAAATTGATGCTAGTACAGGCATTAAATGATTAATCGGGAGTTACAGCTCTTTTCTTTTTTCCTTTCTGAAGAGTTACTGTTTCACAGTAGAACTAAACAAATAACCATGACTTTGAGAAACTCCGATATGGAAATAAAAAGGGGGATATTACAGAAACAAAGTAAATGATTAATCTGTGCAGGCAATGGGAGTTACAGCTCTTTTCTTTTTTCCTTTCTGAAGAGTTACTGTTTCACAGTAGAACTAAACAAATAACCATGACTTTGAGAAACTTTGATATGGAAATAAAAAGGGGGATATTACAGAAACAAAGTAACAATCTTAATTTCCATTCTTCATGCAATTATTGTTTTATTTCCTGAGTTTAAGTCATTCAAATGTCAAGGACTACATATATGTATTTCATTCACCGAGACCAATATCAGACAAATTAAAGTTATTACAGCAATGAACTCTATTTTATAAGATATAATGCTATGCTACTGGATCAGACAGCACACAGTGTTAAATACTGTGGGCGATATATATGCTACATAATAATTTCTCCCGTTATTTCAGTATTTTTACACACAAAAAAAAACTGTTTCATAAATCACATTTCCATATTTGAGCCTGTGCATACTACTAAGGGGCTTGGGTAGCTCAGTCAGTAGTCAGTGGTTTGGGTGTGAAGCTGACCGCTCATCTCCATCTAGTGATGAGGTAAAGAATGGTGGAGCTATACTTCCACTCTCCCTTCATGGTGTAGTGCAAAATTAATTGAGCAAAGGGGGTAACTTTATCTTTACTTGCAGAATATTATGTTTGAGTTATGCTCTGCAATAAGTGCACGTAAGTTTATGTTCCGTTAACGTTATGCACCTCATGTGAATAGCTAAATCCCATCTTATGACCTATTCGATGTCTTTTATTTTTAAAATCTCGTAAGAATGCATTTATTCAGAACTTATCGAAGTTCACATGCATTATCAAAATTTGGTTAGGGCATTATTTCGACTCAGAACCTCAACCATGGACTTCGTATTTCGTTCTGCCTTGCTCCCTTGACTTACTAAACAATCAAGGGATTTGTTCCGATTAGTACCACATTAAATTATAAAATGCCAGTTAAGTTGTTATATTTGTTACACGTACTAAAAGCAAAATGTCTCATCCCGGAACATTCAAAGATGCTTCGTTGAACTGGTAATAAGGAGTTTGTAATCACCCTCCACATTATAACTTATTTAACACGTTTATCATTACAAAATATTAATGAAGACAATCACAACACTTCACTCCCATGTTTATTTTCAAATCATGAACCACGGATTGCTGTATATGATATATTTCGCACAAGATTTAAGTCACAGACCCTAAGTTACAACTACAGATACCGAACCGTCGTGCCTTCCTCCGAATAAAAGGTGAGGTGGTGAGTAATCTCTGGTTAATAGAATTCGATTAATAATCTGTGAAGTTCAGTAGCAATGGACGCGGTTGCGTGTAAAGATCCGAAGGAAGTCGGCATGAAGAACCATAAGGCATGGAAGTTATTGTTGTAACTTGTATTCCAATGCAGAAATGTTCGAATTTTCATTGATTACATATTCCAGAATACTAGGGCCCAGTCTGTACAGGACTTACGCTGCGGTTGGTAGGCCAGTTCCTGATTTCGACACGTTGCATGTGTCTTGATAATTGTGAACACATGGTTGTCTTGACATAAAAGATGTCTTTTACGTGTTTTGTACTAGTGTGTTTTTATGACAAGCAGTTTTGTCGCCTTACGGCGAAAAATGTTTGAAATAAATTTGAGGTGACATAAGTTGACGAAACGTCCTTTGTCATATTGCGTCATACTATCAGGCCATAGTTGTTTAAAAAAGGTCACTTAAAAATAACTTTTTTTTTTTTTGGGG